CTTTATGTGTACTTGCTGATTTCCACTCTGATGGAAATGAGATGAAACTTTATGTCATTTCAATTTGCATTTCTGTTCTGGCCTGGGATGCAAAACATTGCTTCATCTACAAATGTTCTCAGTTGTACATCTTGGGAGTTAAGTACACTCATTTGTCCTGCCAGTTCATTTATGTATTTATTAATTGGATTACTGGTTTTTTGGGAGGTTAGATATTTGAGTTCCCTTTCTGTATCTTGGTCATTAGTCTGTTTTCCAATATATTGCTGGCAAATATGTTTTGCCATTCTGCACTCTATTATGCAGTGTTTTAATCTACTTCTCAAAATCTGTGATGTGTTGAGAATGAGGCTCCATGATAGCATGCTTGCCATGCATGCATGAAAACCATGTTTGATTCTCCATACCACATAAACAGAAAAAGCTGGAAATAGCATTGTGGCTCAAGTGGTAGAATGGTAGTCTTGAGTAAAAGAAATTCATGGACAGTGCCAAGGCCCTGAGTTCAAACCCCAGAACTGGCCAAAAAAAAATACAATCTGTCATAAAATCATTCAAAGAACTAAAGTCCATATACTGTTACTTAATACACAATTGCTGGAGGATTTCTATGATACTAAGGCCTATACACTCTTTGTTCTCTAGATAGCTGATTTGTATGTTGAATTGGCTCATGCCTCTTTTATTTTTTTGCCAGTACCTGAGCTAGCACTCAGGTTTTGTGCTTCTTCACTTTCCTCTCTCCTAGGTCAAGGACATGTTAGCCATGCCTCCCACTCAGCTTTTTGCTGGTTAATTGAAGCTAATGTCTTGTCACCTTTTCGGTCTGTTCTTGCTCTACTCCTTGATCCTCAGATCTCGGCTTCCTGAGCATGTAGGCTTACAGGCAAAATCCATCAATACCTTGCGTACACAAACCACCAGAGCCTATATGGGTTTTTCCTTTTATGGCTGTTGCCATTTAAAATAAGATGAATTTTCAAATACTATAAAGTATGTCCCAATCTTTTGGACCATACATATATTCTAATTATATATTAACTATATATATTACAGAAAGTATATTATATATATATCGTTTTAGTTGGAGACACGCACAAATACACACAGATACATATATGAGAAAACTGCACACTGTCTGTTGTTTGACATCATCAGCAGATAAACCATGGCCATGAATATTCCTTACAAAAAACTAAAGTACTTTATGTTTATATGTATGCACCTATGTTTGTATATTAATATATAAACATATACACACATGCATATATACACACTTGCACACTCATGTATATATTATATGGTATATATTAATATATATTTATATACAAATGAGACAGAGACTTGCTATGTAGCCTATGTTGCTCTCAAAGAGGTGAAAATCCTGTCTTTCTTCACTATGTTTTGCATTTTAAACCTGCCGAAACATACCTATCTTATCCTTTATTTCAGATGAATACACTACTGTGCTCAAATGAGTTCCTAATTAGAAAGGAGGGAAAATGTTTAGAGGAACTAATAAATGAGCTAGCTTCATAACCCTATCATAGAAACCTATTTTTCTGTTTTAAGAGGATTCCTTAAAAGTGCATTATTACAAAATGAAGTTCAATTACTACAATGGCATTGATTTCTGTACATCAGTCAAACATGCAAATGTTAGCACTTGATCTCATTTCCTAGGTGCTGTTCTTGCTCTTCTTTGCTTAAGGCTAGTCCTGTACCACTTGAGCCACATATTTCTTACTTATGACCTTTATGGTGGTTAATTGGGGAGAAGAGTCCCTTGCTCATTTTGCCTAGTCAAGCTTCAAAGATTGATCTTCAGTTTTCAGAATTGCAAGCATGAGCGGCCTAAGCCCAGCAGCTTTACATATTGGTATTTACATGCCTTGATTTATTTCTGGTACTGAATAAGGGCTTCGATGTTTGTTTGCTTTTCTGCTGGTCCTGGGGCTTGAACTCAGGGCCTAGGTGCTGTCTCTACACTTGATTGCACATGACTAGTACTGTATCACTTGAGCCACATGTTCCCTTCAAACCTTTGGGTGAATTGGATATAGTAATTTCAATGACTTCTGCAGCTGGGCTGGTTTTGAACTATGATCCTCAGATCTCAGCCTTCTGAGTAGATAGGAGTACATGTGTGAACCACAGGTGCCCAGCTGCTTCATAAGTGTTCTGAGACTTCTTAAAATCAGCCAAATACTTTACACTGACCCAACAGTTTTCATCAGGTGAGTTTCAGACACTCCTCAGGGTGAAAGGGAGAAAAAAGCTGAGCTGGGGAACTAGGAATATTCTCAGGTGCTAATGTGTCAGAGAAACTATTCATGGGGAGATGAAATGTGTTTTTCTTTTATTAAGGAGGTGCCACGGACCGGCTCTGTCGGGACGACGGAGGACACCTAGTGGAGGTAACTGGAATAGGTGGGGAGATGGCCAACAGACAACTCACACACAAGAGGAGTGAATGCTGAATGCGATTTATTGCAGAGGATAGCAAGCTTTTATAGAAAAAGTCTCCATGAGAAAGGGCAAAAGGTTACACAATCTTGCTGCAAGGCTTCGTTCTTGGGTGGTCACCAGCTGCTCGCCGGATCTTGCTTTTTGCATGATGAGCTATGACAATAGGCACTTGTTTTCGGCTTTACCTCTATTTTTAAGAAACACAATTGGTTTCGAGATGTTTATCACCTATTAGCCATTAACCAGAGCATATGGGCAAGGTGCTGGACAGAAAGGCATGAACTCTAGTACTTTATTGTTACTTTTGTTTAGTTTTGTCCTTTATCCGTTTCAGATCTTTTCTAAGCCATTGTACTTCTTTGTCATTCTTTAGAGGGTCCCCAATTGGTGGCCAAAAATCATGATATTCAGTATACTTAGTTAAATCTGGCCATATATCTAATTCAAGCTCATAGTGTCTTTTCTGTAACCCTTTCACATAATCGTTTACTCTTTTCCATAGAGGCCTTAACTGTCTCATAAGATCTTTTTTGTTCCTTTTTTGTTAGTAAGCAACAAGGAGGCCTATATCTAGCAAGTCTCTCAGTAAATGCAAGAGAGTAATAGGAAGTTCTTTCTCCTAAGTAGTTTTCCCAACGGTTGCCATCCTTATCATACACACCTATAAAAGTTTATGGATCTGCGGGAAGTCTCTGGGGTCCTCTAGAAATTGGAGGATCCCACCATTTTCCTCTGATAACCTGTTGCCACCTTCCATCTACCAACCTTTTAGGAATCTTATTTAGCTTTTTGTCTAAATATCCTTCTACATCTTTCTTATCTACAGGATATCTATATGAGTCTATTGTATATGCTCCAGGATTAAAGGGAAGTCTCCAATAGCCATACACTCTGCTCTAGCAGTGCCTACAGCTTCTTGTAAATTTCTTACAAACAATTCCTTCTGCTGAAGTGATGTCATGAAACCACCAATACTTTTATACTTGCTTATGACTTGTCTAATAGCCTCCATAAGAGGGGCTTTCAGGGTAGCACTTAACTCTGGTGAGTTAGTCATATTCTCAGGACACTCATCAGTTGTTGGAGTCGTCAACACTTCCAAGAAAGAGCCCTGAATAAGGGAAAGTTGAGCATGAGTAAGTAGAGCAAGCAACAGGAGCAGTAAAAGATTAATAGGCACTCCTATACAGCGAAAAAAAGAAAAACAGGAACACATCTTTCCCAGGGGCTTGCCAGCCTTTTTGGGAGGTAGGCCTCTTTGAAGCCCCATTCTCTGAGGTAGACTTCTGTGAAGTCCCATTCTCAGAGGTAGGCTTCTGTTAAGCCCATTCTCTGAGGTAGACTTCTGTGAAGTCCCATTCTCAGAGGTAGGCTTCTGTGAGGCCCATTCTCTGAGGTAGACTTCTGGGGAGTCCCACTCTCAGATCTAAAAGCTGGTGTTCCATGATAAGCAGACTCCCCCAGAGTAGGCGTGGCAAGGAGGCTATTTTTATTTTTTTTGGATCCGGTCGTGGGGACTGAACTCTGGGCCTGGGCGCTGTCCCTCAGCTCTTTAGCTCAAGGCTAGTGCTCTACCACTTGAACCACAGCGCCACTTCTGGCTTTTTCCTTTTTGCTTATATGGTGCTGGGGAATCAAACCCAGGGCCTCATGCATGTAAGGCAAGCGCTCTACCACTGAGCCATCTTCCCAGCCCTGCTTTTATTTTCAATCAATGAAATTACTTTCCCTTTATTCCTCTTCTTTGTAAGTCTTCATTTCTTGGGTTTTGAATTCCAAATAATTTAAATAACCTTACTGCTATCCCTTGAGGACTTGATCATACAGTAAAGGAGTTTCCTCCTTTATGTGCCTGTATTTAGGTCCTGATATGGGTCTGTGTTCTGTTGCACCATGACTGCACCTGAGATAAGCTGGTTAGTAGAGCCAATGATTGTGGAAAAGATCTGACAAAATGAATAGTGCTATGGAGGGTTATGGATGGATTCAGGTGACTGGATGAATTTGTAGTGACATATATGTATATTTACATACATAGATATGCATACACACACACACACAAACAACGTAATCACCCGGTGACCTGCTGATGCATGCCTTCCCTTGTAATCTGTCACTCAAAGCCAAGAGGTTCACATTCATGAATCATTGGGACATTCTCAAGTATGTCTCTAAAATCCTCATAAGCTGTTGCTATGGAGACATGTTCATGTGGGGCTTCTGAATTCTGTTTTTACACATGGGATTGTGGAATGTTAAGTGTATATTCTTTTTTTTAAGCTCCAAGAATGGGGACTCAAAGCCAGTACATGATACTTTTGCTCACTTGCTAATGCTCTAAAAACTAAGCCATACCTCTATCCCTTAAAGTATGTATTTTGTCTATTCTGTTGTGAAAGACTATATGAATATATGACAAATTCTACCAGCTCTATAAAAATTATAGAACTGTTCATTTCCAGGGGTGGAAGAGACTGATGTTATAGAAGGTATTCTAGGTTTACAGAAAAATTTGAAAATTGCTTTCCACATAAAATCTGAATGGACTCTATGTCACTTTTATTGAATTTCACCACATATAAGTATTTACTAAATCAACTTTATTACTCATCCATAATTCTCAAATATTTCTCATTTTCAAATGTTACAAAATTCCATTAAATCACTCAATTTCTTTATAGATTCTATGAAACTACTTATTTTCCTAATTTATAACATTTCAGTTTTACTTACATAAGTTTTGTAAACACCTTTCAAGAAAGTAGACTGCTTCCCAATGATAGGAGTCATGATACTAAATACAACAACCTCAAAATTAGAGATGTGGCACAAAAGGTAGAGTGCTAAGCTTGAGAATAAAAGCCAAAGGGAAGTAAAGGGCCATGAGTTCAAATGAAACTAACAGCAAAGAAAAAGGAAAAAGGTAAATACCATCCTAGAATTTCATGAAACAGGAAATTAGACATAATCATCTTCTTGTAGATCTCCCAATAGAGAATGTTAGAAATGGAACTTGAGAAATTTTAGAAGATGGACATTCAGGGAAGAATGACAGAGTACTGAGAACATTTTTGAAAAACTTTCTACATGTTTTACATTGCTATGATTTCTCATGTGTGTGTGTGTTCAATGATGTACCCTGAGCTGTGCCTTCTGGTTGAAGAATTCCACATTTCTACCTTGATAAGGTTTGTATCCTGTGTGGGTTGTTCTCTATTGCAAACTGACTTCTCTTCCAAATGAAAGACTTTCCTTACTTGTTACATTCTAGAGATTTATCATTTGGGTGAATTTTCTTATATGCTAGGCTGTGGCCTCCTGTGGACGGTTCTTTCCACATTTGTTGCATTCATAAGGCTTCTCTCCTGTGTTGTGCTCTCTGATGAAAAATAAGGGTTGACTTCTGTGTGAAACTCTTTCCACAGCTGTTACATTCCTAAAGTTTTACTCCTGTGTGTTCTCCGATGGACAGTAAGGTTTCCCCTGTGGCTGAATGACTTTCCACACAGGTCACATTCAAAAGGTTTCTCTCCTGTGTGTGTTCTCTGATGGTCAGTAAGGTATACCTTCCTGGTGAAAGACTTTCCACAGCTGTTACATTCATAAGGTTTCTCTCCTGTGTGCATTATCTGATGGATGTTAAGGGCTGCCTTCCACCTGAAAGACTTTCCACACTCCATACATTCATAAGGTTTCTCTCCTGTGTGTATTATCTGATGTGATTTAAGGATCGACTTCTGCATGAAAGACTTTCCACACCAGCTACATCCATAAGGTTTTTCTCCCGTGTGTTTTCTCTCATGGAAAGTAAGGCCGATTTTCTTGGTGAAAGACTTTCCACACCTCCTACATTCATAAGGTCTCTCTCCTGTATGTGTTGCCTGATGGGCAGTAAGTTGTGACTTCATGGTGAAAGACTTTCTACACACATTACATTCATAAGGTTTCTCTCCTGCATGTATTGTCTCATGGATAGTAAGGTATGTTTTCCGGGCGAAAGCCTTTCCACACGTGCTACATTCATAAGGTCTCTCTCCTGTATGTGTTGTCTGATGGATCCTAAGGTTTCCTTTCTGGGTGAAAGACTTTCTACACACATCACATTGATAAGGTTTCTCTCCTGTGTGTGTTGTCTGATGGATTTTAATTTGTGCCTTCTGGGTGAAAGACTTTCCACATATATTACATTTGTATGGTTTCTCTCCTGTGTGTGTTGTCTGATGGACATTAAGGGTTGTCTTCTGGGTGAAAGACTTCCCACATTTGTTACATTCATAAGGTTTCTCTCCTGTGTGTGTTCTCTGATGGACAGTAAGGTATGCCTTCAAGTGAAAAGATTTTCCACACTTGTTACATTCATAAAGTGTCTTTCTTGTGTGAATTTTCTGATGAAAAGTAAGGTTTGCCTTCCGGATGAAAGACTTTCCACACACATTACATTCATAAGGTTTCTCTCTTGTGTGTGTTGTCTGATGGACAGTAAGGTGTGCCTTCTGGATGAAAGACTTTCCACACACATTACATTCGTAAGGTTTATCTCCTATGTGTATTCGGTGATGATATGTAAGTTTTGACTTCCGCATGAAAGACTTTCCACACAGGTTACATTCATAAGGTTTCTCACCTGTGTGTGTTCTCTCGTGAGCAGTAAGGTTTGCCTTCTGGGTGAAAGACTTCCCACACTGGATACATTCAAAAGGCTTCTCTCCTGTGTGTGTTCTCTGATGGACAGTGAGGTATGACTTCAGGCTGAATGACTTTCCACACAGGTTACATTCATAAGGTTTCTCTCCTGTGTGTGTTGTCAGATGGACAGTAAGGTGTGCCTTCTGGCTGAAAGACTTTCCACACACACTACATTCATAAGGTTTCTCTCCTGTGTGTGTTAGCTGATGGACAGTAACCTGTGCCTTCCGAGTGAAAGACTTTCCACACAGGTTACATTCATAAGGTTTCTCTCCTGTGTGTGTTGTCAGATGGACATTAAGGGTTGTCTTCCGGCTGAAAGACTTTCCACACACATTACATTCATAAGGTTTCTCTCCTGTGTGTGTCGTCAGATGGACAGTAAGGTGTGTCTTCCGGCTGAAAGACTTTCCACACACATTACATTCATAAGGTTTCTCTCCTGTGTGTGTTGTCAGATGGACAGTAAGGTGTGTCTTCCGGCTGAAAGACTTTCCACACACATTACATTCATAAGGTTTCTCTCCTGTGTGTGTTAGCTGATGGACAGTAAGCTGTGCCTTCTGAGTGAAAGACTTTCCACACAGGTTACATTCATAAGGTTTCTCTCCTGTGTGTGTTGTCTGATGGACATTAAGGGTTTTCTTCTGGGTGAAAGACTTCCCACATTTGTTACATTCATAAGGTTTCTCATCTGTGTGTGTTCTCTGATGGACAGTAAGATATGCCTTCAAGTGAAAAGAGTTTCCACATTTGTTACATTCATAAAGTGACTTTCTTGTGTGAATTTTCTGATGAAAAGTAAGGTTTCCCTGCCGGATGAAAGACTTTCCACACACGTTACATTCATAAGGTTTCTCTCTTGTGTGTGTTGTCTGATGGACAGTAAGTTGTACCTTCTGGCTGAAAGACTTTCCACACACATTACATTCATAAGGTTTCTCTCCTGTGTGTGTTAGCTGATGGACAGTAAGCTGTGCCTTCCGAGTGAAAGACTTTCCACACACATTACATTCATAAGGTTTCTCTCCTGTGTGTGTTAGCTGATGGACAGTAAGCTGTGCCTTCCGAGTGAAAGACTTTCCACACAGGTTACATTCATAAGGTTTCTCTCCTGTGTGTGTTCTCTGATGGACAGTAAGGTGTGTCTTCCTGGTGACAGAATGTCCATATTGGTTAGATTCTTTAAGTACAGGAGATACTCCAGGACTGTAAGCAGCACATATACCGTCAGGCTCGCCATGGAGAAGCATGTTCTGACACTGCATGAACTCCTCTGTCCTTATTCCTAAGGAGTTCCTATTATTCCTAATCAGCTCTGATTTAGGTTTTGATCTCAAATTAAAAGTTGTTATTAATTTCACATTTTTCTCCCCTGTGTTAGTATTCATGACTCCCACTTCAGACAGACAATCGTAGGGACTCTGCTGACAGGTCTTAGTCCTGTACTCCTTTTCTTGGATATCTACAATGAGATATAGAAAGACAGAGAAAAACAGAAATGAGACCTCAAGATTCCTTAATGTAACAGTAAAGGCATTTCCGTGCATCCTAACTTATGAGATTTATAAGATCAAAGCAGGAACTCTTTGATGCAGAATATAAGCTTTTCTCTGTAATGTATTAGTTAAGAAAGTAGTACTGACATTTTACAATGGTAAATAATGTTTTCCTGTTTCAGTTTTTTTCTGTTTTTCTCAAGGAATTAATTACTCAAATGATTCAACTACACACTATTAGTTATAAGCTGAGTACTAAACATTTGTCTTTAATACCCTCGAGGTTTGGTCATAAGGGAATAGCTATTATTTTTCTTTTAATTTGTGGAAATAATTTATATATTTTGCTGCTTTGCTTCTCAACCATTAGGTGAGGAACAGAAATACTGTCTAGATTTAGGGACCATTAGGGTGTTTGATACATCCCTACATCCCTTGGCCTTTCCGCTAAGCATGGAAGGTTCCTGAGAGTAAGGATTTATACCTCCATCTCTTCAGTTCTAACTTCTCACTAAGAATTACTTTAGGGATTGGTAGCATTGTTAAAATTGGTTTCCCTCACCCTTAGTCAAATTCTCATCAAATTTCCTTTTCTAACACTCCTGCTCCTTCACAACCATTAAAGACCAAAGGTACTGCAGCTCACCACCCAGGTAGTCATCCCCTATGAACCAAAAGCTTTGCTTCTGAATCTCACTCACTTCCACCATCACCAAGAAGCAATCTCCCTCATCACAGGATAGCAGTCCTGGCATACTCCTTATTTCCTCATACCTGCATAGGCCTTGTTTCAATGAAAATGAGACCTCATTTTCTACATTTCTCATTTCCTTTTTCTGTTTAAGAATGATTTCTACAAAGAAAAAGAAAATTGCTCACTTTAACTATACTAGGACACCGAAATCAGTTTGTCTCCATGTAAGTTCTTGATTGTCCTGTCCTTGAGACAAAGGATCACCTAGTTCTCTGCCACACATGACTCAGGGAACTAGGAACATTATTGCTCAGTACAGCTCATTAAACTTACCAAGTGGACTCTGGCTACAAAACCACCATGCAAGATGCTTTATCTCACCTGTGAGATTCTTGTCTGAGGCTTCTCTTATCCATGGTTCTGCACCTTGCTCCAGCTTGGCAATCAATTTAGGCTTAGGAACACAGTGTCCTGTTATTAACAAGTAGAGAAGAACTATTGGTATGCTGGGTCATCATTACTGTAAGGTCTTAGACATCATGTTCACAAAGTTGCTCCTAAACCTTGTTTCTCATTTCTTACCAACTTCCTGGTTGATATTCCCCAGCTTTCAACTTATTTTGCCAATTGGGTGGCTTGAACTCAGCTCTTTCGCTCAAAGCTAGCATTCTGCTAGTTTCAGTCCCAGCTACATTTGTGAGGGGATTTGGAGATAAAAGCCTCATGGTCACTTTTCTGCAGTTGCTGGCTTCAAACCAAAATCCTCACATTTCAGCCTCCAGAGAAGCTAAGATTACAGGTGTTAGCCACTGCACCCAGGATCAGGGTTGATTACAAATAACCACTTTCAACTAGTGATTTTCAGATCATACCTCAAATAGTGAGGTACTTTCTATTCTAGACTATATTTGCACCTACAAAAATCATCGCAAGTTTAGGAAGACAGTCTTCTTTCTATTAGTGGAATGCAGTTTAGATCTTGGGTCCAAGTGCTGGTTGGGTTTCTTGAAGACAGGGAATAAAATTGTCTCCAGTTACATAATCAAGTGGAAAAAATGGACAGGAATTTTATATTCCCACGGACTAGAATCCTCTACTGAAACAACATAAATATTTATATGACTACTTAGAAAAGAAAACAGCCTTTGATCTCGCATGTTCAAATGACTTTTGCTCACCTAAGGACAAGAGGTTGCTGTAGGTCTCCAGCATTACATCTCTATGCAGGGTCCTCTGAGCATGATCCAGGTCTTGCCACTCCTCCCAGCTGAAGTCCACAGCCACATCATCAAATGACACCAGCTTCTGTAATGGCACATTTGAATCAAGTAATTAGCCCAAGTCAGGAAGGTCTGTGGGACTCATCCCCAATTAATCACCAGGAGAAAAGCAGAACTGGTGCTATGGCTCATGTGGTATAGCACTAGCCTTGAGGGGAAGAATTCAGGGACAGTGCTCAGGTCCAGAAATCAAACCTCACAACCAACCAACCAACCAACCAACCAACCAACACACACACACACACACACACACACACACACACACACACACACACATGGTATGTCATAAGCAATCACAACACATTTAGGACATCACATAGAATACATAGCACATTATTGATTCATGAAAAGTAAGTGTCCACACAAATGTTAAAGGCAGTAACAGTACTTAAGAACGTAGCTAATGATGGATTGGCCCTTATAAGATCTGATTTACTTCCCATATATAAATATCCTATGTTAACTATTTTGTACTTTAAGTGTTAAATACTGAAGTATGGTCATAGATACCCTGATATTTCTTTCCTATGTAAAATAGAACTGCTAGAAGGAAGTTTTGTGAACTTGGCCTACCTTCTACAATCCACAATATAGTTGTGAGGGGCATACAATGTTCCCTGACTATATTTTCATTTAAATATGCCTTCATGGAAGGATGGAGGATGGATAGAGGCTTAAGGAACATTCAAGATGACAAAAAATGAAAAAAAGGACCACGACAAGCAAGACAGAGAAAAATTAGAAGAGGGATGTGATCTAAAAATACAGAAGAAAATTTACAAGTTGGAAGGAAAGAAGAGTGCTAATTTGTGTGCAGAGGCTAAGAGGAGAGGTTTTGGACTCCCACACGGAACCCTATTACAAATGATGAATGGCTAAGCCAGCCATGCTTGCCAATACCAGAGGTGAATGCTGACTAACACACAAAAGGGAAATATATATGTGAAGAATTGAAAGAAAATAACATTCAATTCACAATCCACTGGGCAGAGGATCTCTTCTAAAAATGTAGATTGAAGATACCATCAGGGAAAGAGAATTGATTAATTACACATCTGAATTATAAGAGTGTTACAAGAGAAGTGCTTCAAGAGAAGAGCAAAAGGAGTCCACATACATATACACATAGGACAAAGAAACTAAAATGGTAAATGTGTACGTAAGTATAAAGGAATATATTGGTCATCTATTTTATGTAATATCTGTAATAGTTTGTTGAAATAAAACTTATAGCACCATATGAATCACAATGCATGAAGATCCAATATATAAACTCATCACTTTATTAAAAGAAATGTATGTAGAATACTCATATGCATCAATAAATATTGCAATTACCAGGCAAATCGGAAGGCCTCAGTTCAAAGAATTAATTGTACCAAAAAAGAGGGGACTAGATTTAGGGCTGGGAATGTGGCTTACTCCAGAGTGCTTGTCTAGCATGCACGGGTTCAATTCATCAGTGCCATGTGAACAGAAAAACTAGAAATGGAGATGTGACTCAGGTGGTAGAGTGCTAGACTTGAGCAGAAGAAGTTCAAGGAAAGTGTGCTGGCCCTGAGTAAACTATAGAACAACACATAAGTAGAGATGGAAGAGAGTGATTGAGGGTGAGTAAGGGAATGGAACACTCTGAAAGAGAAGGAATGTACTTATTACCTGACTCATGGAATTTTATCTCTCTGTATAAAAACAGTAAATTAATTATAAAACTATTGCTACATGGAGTTGTGCTAGCATAATCCATTTGCTGAGTGAACAAAATCTCCCATAGTTAAAAGAACACTACAATTATTAGAAATAAAATGCAACACTTAATTTGAAACTGAAGTATTTGAGTTTAAGTTGAACATTAGTTCTACATGATCATCTTGTTTCATTGTAGTATATACTTAGTTGTTAATGTTAAATGTTCCAGACAAGAAAAATAAAACAAACCAGGGCTTCAGGCACAAGACTGTTCTCCTTCCCCAGCTGTGAAGGATCTGAGGTCTGGAAGCCAGCCGGGGTAGACAACTCTAATTAAGCATTTAGACAACAGGTGGGAGCTGGCTCAAGTGACAGCACCAACAGTGACTGAGGAAGCAGACCTGGAGTTCAAGCTCCAGCACTACACAACAAAAGCATGGTGGAGGCTAAAGTAGATGTGGCACATGAGTTTCTAAGATAGACACCAATTGTGGCAACACAGCAAGTCCTCATCTGACACATAAAGAGAAAAGAGAATGAGTGGAGGGCCGAGAGAAGGGGAACAAAAGGGCAGGGAAAAGAAGGAAGAAGAAAGGACAAGAGAGGAGGGGAGGAGAGGGAAAAAGAGGGAAAGGGAAAGGAGGAGGAGAAGAGTGGAGGGCAGGAAAGCTTCATGACATTAGACTTGACAGTTACTACTTGGATAGGACACAAAAAGTCCTGATGTAAAACCAAACAAGATTAAGTCCATCAAAAGGCATGATCAACAAAGAAGCAAAAGCATGGAATGAGTGAAAATATTTCCAAAGATCACTAACAATTGGAATGATTTCTAAAATATGAAGCAAAATTGTACAACAAATTGCCATACACAAAATCTGATTTTAAAATGGGGAAAACGATTGAAGACACTTTTAGAATAATCTACAAATAATTCATTGAAATATACAAAGCTCAGTATCAATAGTCAAGAGAAGAATTCAAATCAAAATTCTACAGAAATAACTACTCTATATATGTTACTATGGACAGAGTTTTAAATAAAAACAACAAATATCCTTCCAAAGTCTAACAAAGGCTGGGAAGGATGTGAATTCAATTTGAACCTTGGTGCATGTCTGACAGAAATGTAAAACAATCAAAAATGGTATGGACAGCGCTAAAAAGAACTAAATACAGAATTACATAGGAATATGGTCCAGCACTTCTATTTCTAGATTTGTACCCAGCAGAAGAGAAAGCAGGGATGAGAAGTAGTATTAGAGAATCACTTCACAGCAAATACTGACAAGAACCAAACGACAGACACAGGTAAAAGAATAGATAAAGACATTGAAAAGGAAGACAATTTTGCTACATTTTACAGCAGGTTGATCTTTGAATACATTAAGCTAAGTAAAATACAGCAGTCATAAAAGCACAGCCATGGTATGATTTCCCTTACTGAGCTTTCAAGGATCAACAAAGTCATAGAGCCAAAAAGTAAGATGGTTCCAGAGACTGGGGTAGAGAGGAAAAGGAGCTGCCTATTAATGATTATACAGCTTCATACATGGAAAATGAAACATGCTGTACATGGATGGAAGAGATGGCTGCACAACAATGCAGCCATATGAACTATCAGTGAACTCTGAATTGAAAATGGTTAATGTAGCCACACAGGATGGAACATACCTATGCACCCTGAATTTGGGAAATTCAAAAAGGATGACCAGCCAGGCTAGGTTCCATAACAATTTCAAGAGCATGCTGGACTACATATCAAGACCTGTCTTCAAAAGGAATAGGGAATGATTTGTATTGACCAAGCTCATAAAATTCACAAACTTTATAGACCATGACAATGACAATTTGCCTTCTTAAGGTGAAAATGTGTTTTTGACTTCAACTAAGCATCTCTGTCCCACAATACTGTGACATATGTGAAATTTATATAATCACTTACTCTCAATTTAAACAACAAAAAAAGAAAAGTTAGAGAAGGGGTGGTTAGGAGCAATGGGTGATAATGTTGTCAGACATCTTCTATTCACATATTGTTTTGTAGAATGGCAACTTCTTTGTACAAGCACTTCAACCTAATAATAAAATAAATTGTTTGAAAAAAGGAATATGGAAAAATCAAATTTTAGACTCTCTGAATTGGATCAGAGATATAAGTGCCATGTGTTTATTTTTCCAGTTGAAATAACAATTAAACTTTTAAGCCACATTTTAGCTGGAAACATACAACTACAAATAGCATTAATAACAAACACACATAGACCAAAAATGCAAAGTATTCTTTTTTTTTTTTTTTTGTCGGTTGTGTGGCTTGAACTCTAGGCTTGGGCACTGTCCCTCAGGTCTTCAACTAAAGGCTAATGCTCTACCACTTGAGCCACTGTGCCACTTCCGGTGTCCTGAGTGGTTTATTGGAGATAAGTGTCTCATGGACTTTCCTGTCCAGGCTGGCTTTGAACCAGGATCCTCAGCTCTCAGCCTCTGAGTAGCTAGAATGAGAGGTGTGGGCCACCGGAGCCTGAACAAAAATGCAAATTACTCTAATCTGTGCATCTTATTTTTAGTTTTTGTATATCTTTTCACTGACTATTTTTCAAGTGTATTTCATATTATTGAATCAGTTCTCTAGGTAGCTTCCCAAGGATATTTTGCCAAATATATTATCTAGTAGCGAGTTCCTCAGAGATCAAAGTCTATCACTGAGCAGATCTTGGTCACGTTTTGCTACCAGTGATATTTCAAATCTAAAATAACCTGGACACTGTATTGTTTATTATAAAAACCAGGTTCTATCTTATACTGGCAGTGAATGAAAATATTCAAATGGAGCAAGAAGAAAATATAAAACTACACTACCACATCAAATGAAGTTAGATCAGATAAACACAATAGGATCAGGCTCATCAATTTTTTTTGCTGTGAATTGATAGGTAGAAGGTTTTAATTATCTGTAGGGAATGCTGAAGCTGAGCTGAAAGTGGAAAAGGTTTGAGAGGTTGAACTCCACCCACACTGCACTTAGTACACTGAGAGCTGGCCTTGGAAAACTTAAAACAGACAACTCTGGAGCTGGTTAAGAGACTGGAGTGCCAACCCCCTGCCTCAGGGCTAGAAAGATTGGAGCTGAATGAACTTTGGATGCTGTTGACCTTGAAGGCTAGGTAAGATGGACTTCATGCCTAGAATATTCTGAGAAGCAGTCTCCTATCTCAAAAGTATAACACAGAAAAGGAGGAGGTAATGCTTCATAAGAAATACTTATTATGTACTGTAACCACTCTGTACAGTATTTTCACAATAAAAACCTTGTAAAAAAAATAGAAGTGTGGAGGA